CCAAACCCTATATAAGAATTTGCCCTTTAAGGTCCGGGGTCGACTCCTCTGTCTCCTGCGAGAGATACGTGTCGACCCGGAGCTCCGCTTAATAAACCTCTTGCGTTTGCATCAAGCTCGGTCTTCTGTGTCTGTGGGTCCGCGCCTTCCCGAGACTGGAGTTGGGGTTTCCTTTTTGGGACCCTACACTATTAATTGGCTTCCTTTTTTTTTTTTTTAAACCCATCTGCTCTATTTCTTTATCTGTGATGTCCTTGCAGATATCAGATGGCTTTGTTGAATGACATTGTTGAGAGCTATCAATCAAAAACCATGTTAGCTACTGAAAAAAAGCAAAAGATTTGCCTTCCTAAAGCCTGAATGAAGTTTACCCTTGAAATCAGAAGTATCATCAGTGTTTAAGTAAGAGCAAATAACCACGTGCTCTACATTTAAGCTTTAGAAATAGAATGAATTTACCTTTTTCTCCTTCACTATCAAATGACAGTTTCCTTCTTCGTAGTTTACAGTTGTCTCCTTCAGAGTCATTCATGGACTGGGATCGTAGCAAGAGATCAGCCTTTGTTGATGGAATGTGAAGATAAAATGGAAGATTATTCAATTTGAACATAATGTATTATCAGTAAACGCTCTACTGTTTCATATCACTTCAACCACTTTGAGACTGTATTAGATTTCAGGCAAATAGCTACAATACTTTGGTTAATAGTAGTCTCTAAATTATAAAATAGACTGATAGAATAATTCTAGTAGTTTGACCGTCTGATGGGGAAATCATAGTTGTAGAAGTTATATACCAGAAATGTTTGGGGATGTTGTTGTCAATACTTAGAGACAACATATAGCTACATGTAGAATGTATTTTATGTAACTTGGTAAAGTTAAAATAAAAATAATAATTTTAAAAAATTTGCAGAATCTGTATTATTGCAGAGAAAAAAGTGTAAACTAATTATAATTAGCTATGATGTTTAAATTACAGGGTAATGATTGCAAGGTTAAATTTCACAACAGTAAATATAAGGTTGAATTCAATAAACACTATGTTTTGAACCCTTTATTACTTTTTGTTCCCCGTTCCTCCTTTTCCTCCCTCTGGTTCACTGTGTAAAATATTATCCGTCTTGTAAATAAAAATGGAAGCTCTCAAATAAAACAAATGGAAGCTCTTGTTTTATTAATTTGGTTGCTGCCTAAGCTTTTTATGTAAAGAAGTTATCTCAGGTAGATATCTGCTGTTTTCCAAGGCAAAATCAGAATGAGGTTGGTGACATTAAACTGGGATTTGATAAAGTGCTGAATTAAAATCATTATAAAAAAACATATGCTCTTGATAACTTGAACCTTTTACCACCCAAATATTTTTCAACTTTTCAGTGTTTTGAAAAGAAGTAATTATGAGCTGCTACTTCAGGTTATTAAATGGTACCCTGGTGACCTTAAAAGTTTCCCTTTCTCTTTAAGTCTTTCACAGTACCTGGGAATAACTATAACTTCAGAGAGAATTAAATCTACTACCTTTTACCTAACTATTAACTTGAGGATCTTTTTTCCAGAGAGTATATTAGTTACCGTTAAAATACACTGACAAGTGTCAAAAGTCCAACATCTGATTTCTGACAAAAAAGTATTTAGAATTGGAGTTGGGGTTATGGGGCTTGAAGGGAAGGGGATAGAGGAATAACCTAGTGATAAATTGTGGGCTGCAACATAAAGTTCTACTTTCTTAAAATAGTGGTAGGTCACAAGGCCATGTTTTCATAGTGGAAGAGAGTGAGGGATAAAAGAGCTACACTCTCAAAACTCATTCTAGGTTAAATTATATATAGAATAATTTAAAATATTATTTCTATTAGACCATATGTTTTTCCTTCTGCAGCACAAATTTTGACTCAGGTATAAGCCTGATTAATTTATACTTCTATGATTTGGAAATTGTGTTAAATATGGACCTATACTTGAATGAGTTTAATTTTTTCATTATTATTGAAAAGACATTGCTAACCAATGTATGGTGTAAATAATAGCTGAGAGAATATTTTAACCTCTGTATAAGATAAACTCTTTTCGGAGATTTTCAATTGTCTAGAATCACCCATTTCTTACAAATAATTGGCACACTCAGTATAAACCAACACATTTTAAATAAAATATGTCATCCAAGAGTTCCTCAAAGGTCAAATTTAATTGACCTACTTAAAGTTATTCAATATATTTGAAACTAATTAGACTGATTTTCTTCCCTATAATTTAGAAATTCCAATATTAAATTGGCTTTGTCTTTCATATATTCAGAATTGGTCAAGTTTTGCTACAATATTTCACTTGATCTTTCAGAAGTATTTGTGCCATCCCAGAATAAAGTAAAATGTCACAAGTACAAAAATAAGCAGACATATACCTTTGCACTCTCATGCCTGAGGTTGAAAGTCAGCTCTAGGTTTGTGAGAAAGTGATCTGAGAACTCAGGGTACATATCCAAAACCTCCAACAAGTCTTCTCTCTGGATCTTATGCAAATCACAGTAGGTGAGAGCTCTTACATCTGCATTAGACTTTCCAGGTTTGGCATAAAGATGAACCATTTCTCCAAATATATCATTTTTTCCTACCAAAAAAAAAAAAGAAAAAAGAAAAAAGGAAAAAAAAGGAAGTAAAAGGAATCTGAATGTAAACTTTTCTTTCTAAAAGTAGAAGGGGACAACTGACCAATCCCTGAACCAAAGATTTCAAATATAAGACCCCATAGCCAACAGCCACTGGGTAGCAAAATTCTAGTGTCCAGTACTGACTGCCCCAGTCATGTTTGTTTGCTGACTGGAATTTTGCCTCTTAGCGCACTGGTCCTGGTATAATCCCTATTATTTCCTTGTTTTGATTCTTTGGCTAAGCATCTAGAATACAGCAAACATGGCTTTAGTCTGCTATGCCCTACATTGCTAGAAAAGGGTTTTGCCATGTGTTAGGTGTAGTCTGATTTTGTCAATTCAGGAATATGAGAAAGGCTGCGGTGAGTCAGATGCACGAATTTTCTATCTCAGGATGGTTTCTGGAGGTGACGCCCAGCATGGGGTTATGGTGGAACACTTTCAACACCTAAAGGACTAGGGGTACAATTTGAAAATGCTCTGTTTCCTTTAGTAACCACTGTTGGATTTGCCCTTAATGAATTTGTCCAATTGTTTAATAAATCTAGTTATATTTTCTCAACATATATTGTCACACTTTTTAACAATATGGCCTTTATTCTAACAATGTGTCCTTGCTCTTCTGCCACACCTGGGGTTATTTCAGTGTTTGGTCTCTGATGGGCCCTTTCCACCCCCTCTGCCTAGCCACAGGCCACCTGCTTTTCCAGACCTTGTTCAATGACAAGGATCATCATGACAGCACAACTACAAATGCTTCTTGAAGACTAAGTAGGTGCCAGGCACTGGGTCAAATGCTTTGGTGCATTAAGTCATTTAATCCTCAAAATAATCTCATGAAGAAATTACTAATTATTATCCAAATTTTGTGAATATGGAAAGAGGATTAAAATGGTAAACTGATTAGGTCAAGGTCACCTTCTCAGTTGGGTGAAGTGAAGGGAGGGAGAGAATAGCTACAATTAAATGCCATGCATTCTGACTCCAGTCAAAATCTTTACACATCTGATGTATTTAATCTCCTCCCAGTATTTTTCCTGCATGTCAAGGCCAGTTAGATTTTTCTGTTTCTAAATGTCAAGAATCTTAAAATTAGTACCTGTGGAATACTTATGATTAATAACTACTGATAGATTATTGATTATATTATTTTTAAAAATTGTCAATGGCAGTGTAAAATAGTGCTTTCTTACATATATCTTGAAGTTTCTTTTCAGATTTAGAAAAAACTCCCTGGATCTGTTAATTTAGTTTTTGGTAGACAAGTTCATATATACCTGACTATGGAAACTATCAAAGGCTGTTAAACAATAAAGTTCTAACTAGTCAAAAAAAATGCTGTAATGTTCTGATTTTGAATGCGAATTTAATGGAGAGAAATCAGATACCATATCTTTCCAAGAAAAACTGATATTGGAGAGAACGCATTAACTTTAGTTTAAATAAATACTTAGTTTTTCAAAAATAGAATGAATAATCATAATTTGGGAGGATTTTTAGGTGAAGATTTACATGGAAATGGGAACAGAAAAGGAGAATCTCTTGAAGTTATTTACAGTTTTAACATTTCCATATAGATATTATCAAGGAAAAGCTCTGCACTAAATTCAGCATGGGCTTTGTATTTTAATTAGCTTACATGACTGTAAATGAGCAAAGAGTGAACCAGTCAGCAAGTACAGCTTAACTACATTCTAAAAATTACTTATTTTGTGAAGCAAGAAGGCTTATTACCTTCCTGTAGAAGCTAGGGCTGACTTATTTGAAGATCAGGAATTCAATGAAGCATGCCCCTTCCCTCCAGAGTGAACTGTCAAGGCCAAATCTGGTGAAAATCCAACTTTACTGTGGAGCTGCTAAGTGATTTAGACTTTGTTTTGCCTGCTCATTAGATTGTAAATCAAATTGTGCATAGAGACAACTTGAGAAAAAATTTTTTAAAAAAGCTGTCATTATAATAAAATCATCAGAATATACAGGAATCATTCCAGCATCTTCATTCATGTATCGGGTCCCATGCTATGCTGTACTCCGGTTCTACACAGCAGTGAAGAAAAAAGACAACATCCTTGTCCTTTTGGATGTTAACATCAAGAGCTGAGTGAAAGGAAATCATTGAATTGCATGCTCATTATTTAAATGGACCTGAATTTAAGCTACAGGAAAAAAAGAAGCGCAAATGCTCACAAACATTGGGGTGGGTGTTCCCATGGGGAGACTGAGGCTTAAACCTACTGGTTTTAAGGTGGTAGGAGAGGAGAAGAGCTGATCTCATTTTTCTCCCTTGTTTTTCCCCATTGTCCTAATATTTGAAAGAAATGCTACAAGTTTGCACTGACTAAATTTATTTTTGATGAGGTAGCTTGGACAGATGGACTTTCTTTTGCACCCAAATAAGTTTAATTTATTACTAATTTTAATCTCCTCATCACCTTTATCCTTGGGTGTTAAGTTTATAGCTCTGTATTACCTAGGTAAGGACTCGTATAATTCTGTCTAATAGGACACAGCAGCTAAAAGGGCATGGCATACAGATGAAACTCATCAAAATACAAACTCAGTTCATGATAGGGCATTGGCACATGCCAGTAATTATGCTTGCAATGTATACATTTTATTAAAGGTGTTAAGGGATGGAGCGTGAATCCAAGACCCTCTAACATGAAAAGGTTTTTGTTTTCATATATTTGGCCTCAAATGTTTAAGTAGCTGCCAAGAACTGAAGAGAGTCATGGAAGTATTTACACATCAGAGAAAAAGTGAGACAGTCAGGAAAACATATTTTCTACAAGGTTAATTTGATTTGAATTGAATTTTAAATAAAGCTTTAAAATTACCCATCAATCTTAAATAGTACTCATAAATAAATAGATCAGTCTTCTTTTCTGTCTTTTTAAACTATGCATTGCACCAGCTAGTAACTGAATTTGTCACCATCCAGTTCTAAAACACTCACCCAGAATAGCTACCACAATGTCATCTTTGAGGATTTCGATGGAACCTCTGGATAAGAAATAAAGTGCAGTGAGGACATCCCCACAGTGAACCAGGGTGTCTCCTGGAGGTGCATGGGTGGTCTTGAACTTCATTGCCAAAGCTCTAAGGCAACCTTTACTTGCCCCCCGAAAGGCTTTGCAGTTTTGCAGCAAAGTCTGGTTGAGATGTAGACAAATATCAGCTTGTAAACACTCTGGGAAACCCTTTAGGACCTGAAGAAAAAGCATAAAGAGTTTCATACTACCAGTGCACAGGGTACCTCCACCTGAAATAAAGTATATTTCTTGCTCACAGAACCACAGGTGTAGTAATTGTCACCCAGGAGTTCTTACAATGTTTCTACCTTGCCTACCTTAATGAATACTTGGTTTGCTAAACATGTCAGAATTTTAATTCAAATACTTTTCTCTGAATTAACTGCAGGCATTCAGACTCAACACAAATGCTGTCTCATTAAAATGTAATGCCTACAACGTTTCACACTGCTTCTCGTTCCCTGCATTATGTTATGTAGCATCATACTGTGCACAGATATAATGCAATGTGACAATTAATAAGACATAACTAATGAAAGGTGGTACAACTAGAAAGACAACCTTTTGAAGGAATCTCAAGTCAATTGGATTGCTATCTGTGGTATATATCTTAGTTATAATTAGTAAAAATGATGATCCTGAAATAGCCATGGTATTTGTAAATGTCATATACCAGAGAGTGCTCTTAGCTAACAGTACTTGGAATACTGACGTTTAATATGCACATTATTAATACTAAATATTTTGATAAGCATTGGAAATAAAGAAAGGGAAGGAGAACAGCAAACATAATTTAAAAGTATAGTTCAGTTTTCAGAAATGGAAACTGTGCCAGAATTTACAATGCATACATGAAGCTTCTACCAGCACTATTGTTTTGACAACTTATTCAGTGACTAAATTAAAACTTGTATAAAAGATTAAACAATAGCTTCTGACAAGTGCTACTCAATTTAAACTGTGTAAAATATTAAGTTATTTTATAAAATTCCCAGTATACGGTGGGTCAAATACACTCATTTCTTGCTTCTCTGTATGTGTCATAGCTATTTTCGGTGTGGTATATAGATTTTAATTCTCATGGTGATTTTCCTCTGTCAGTAAAAATAGATCCATTTAAATATGCTTTGGGGTAGAGGGAGGAGGGATGATATAGTGCCTAATGATGTAATTTTAGGTTTTCCTACCGTTTTGGGTCAGCCTTGCTATTGCTGTCCAATATAGCTGAAAGTAATCATGAATTATTTTTATAGATAATTCAAATGTATGTGGTCCATAAAGGAACTTCAAATTAGATCATATTTGAATTAACTTGCAATTATTACTATTTTAAATATGAAAGCAGCCACAAGGATCTTGTTTCTGTAGGACCACTGTGTGATGCAATCCATCAAACTGACTGTGATATAATATAAAAGGATCAATGAGAGACCTGAAACACAACAGCCATAATTCTGATCTTGTTTCCTTCATTGTCTAGACACCCACAGAAATGGGTCAAGGGTGTTTTAGAAGAAAATCCACAGAATATGAGTTCAGATCACAAATTTGCCACAGGTTGACACTTGTACAAGTCACTTTATCTCTCTGTGTTTCTTTGCCAGAGAATAAGAGCCTTTATAATGTTGAAATTTGTTGTAAGTTACCAATAAATAGTGTGCCAACTAGTCAACAGTAAGACACTGCTCACCCAGCTCTGTACAGATGTAAATACTCAGATTTTTATCCTGAAGTTTCTGTATTACTTGGCTCAGACCCAAAAGAAATGAGCCTTCCTCTGAGTTCCTGGGCATTCATCTGAAACCTCTCCCCTTAACTGTAACTTACAGTCTGCGTCTACACAACTGGACTCTAGCCAGATTTCCTACTTGGACTAAAGATCTCTCAAAATAATAACTTTCCTAGTCTTTGCACATTTCTGCCTTTGGGGGCTGGAGTTCCTTTTCCTACTCTTTGTTGGGATCCTAAACAATCCTGCTCCTCTCATGGAACCAACTCTCTAGGTCGCTGATCCCTTCTATCTGTCTAAACTATCACATTGGATTCTTTGGCAGGTGATGCTAGACTGGAGTTAACCTAGGTTTGGACACTGTTTATTGAAATGGGGCCACTTTATTTGGGGGTACTATAGTAGGAAAAAAACCCAGTCCACTGGCCTCTTTGCGTATGATTTACTTTTTCTCCCTGAAGCCCACTGTTACGGCCTTAGTATAACTCTCAGATGTCCCCACGTAAATAAAGATGTAAAGAGCAGTACACCAAGTGACAAATTAGATACCCCTGTTTTTCTTTTAAGATTTGGCAGTAATAAGGTACAAAAAGGCATTTTATATTTCACGTAAATGGGGGAGATATTGCTACCATTTTAGTAGTTGGAATAAGAACATTGAGCTTGTAGCTGCTGCTTCTGGCATTTTCCTGAAGTTCATCAGTTATACTTTCTGAGTATAGCCTGGTTATAGAAGGAAAAATGGTGCACTTGTGTGTGTGTGTGCGTGTATGTACATACACATGGGTGTATATGCATGCTATGAGTTGGAAAATGCAGATGAGATAGAGATAGGAGTTCATTTCTCTGAGTGTGTTATACGAGCTACGGAATCAGATAAGCATGAGCTGAAGTCCTAGTTCCATCACTTACTTGTTGTGACTTTGGTCAAGTCAATGAACTTTTCTTGAGATTCGGTTTATTCTATTGCAAAAATAATTAATAATATCTATCTCACAGGGTTGTGCCCACAACTAAATGTGACAATGTATGTAAATTATTCCATGCATTGTAGGTGTTTCAATAGACAGTTTATTTCTGACTTTTTCTGTGCGTGTGTGTTTTTTTTGTCACACATATTTATTGTTCCTGAAAAACTGGTATGTTCTCCGTAGCTAAAAATTGAGAGACACAACACCGATTGTGTTCTCTCTTTGGTCTCTTTGGTGAATAGGAAATTCACCACTAAGTTTTGTGTTCCATTGTGTCAACAGAGTTTAAATATTTTGTGCTCCTTTGCCTCAACAGAGTCTAAGAATTCTTTTTCCTCTTATCTCTCTAACTTTTGTTTCCTGTTTCTGACTTGTGTCAAATTTTTTGGCTCTTGCACTTCAATTTTGACTGTGAGTTATCTTAAATTCTTTTTAAAAGTTGGAAGTTACTAAATCAATTTACGAATGTGTTCTTAGAATTCCAAAATTCTTAGAATCAGTCACAAAACTTTAAAGGACACTTGGGAAAGTTTTTCAACATCATTCTCTTCTCAAGTGTCCTTGTTAAGTGTTATCACCTCCTAACATTCATCCTATTACAGATGTGACACCCACTAGAAAAAATGACTTCAAGTTAGAGATATAATAAAGTTCCATGAAGAAGCCTCTGTTTGTACACGAGGGAGATACACAGATCTTGGCATGAAGAACTTGTCTAGATTAAGGAATTCTCTTGTGGTGTTAGCCCTTAATTGACTTTCTTAGTTTTCTTAAGTCAGTTACATAGATGACTCAAGTAAAACTCAATAGAAGTTAATATTCAGTAATTGAATCTCTTACTAGCCCAGAGGTTTAGATGCCCTAAATGAGTTAGCAGCTTTGGAATCTGGGTTATGCCTAAGTAAAGGGACTTTAAAAGGGGAGTTAAAAGAGAGGGAGCTGTAGTGGAATAGAGGTAGAAGAATATTGAAAAGAGTGGGAAGAAAGGAGTAGGTTTAAGTAGATATATATCCAAGGCACCGCTTTGCATTGATCCCAGTTGTTTTGCCTTCCTTGCTTCCTACTCATTGCACTTTTTTGGTCAGGTTTGGTTCCTCTCCTAAACTCCTTGACTTGGAACTTCCTCATTTAGCACTCGGATATTGGCATTTCACTGGACCTAACAGATCTGGCTACAAAGAGTAGCTATGTCAAGTACACAAGCTGGTTTACTGATTGTTATAATCATTTCCACTACACTCTACACAACCTTCTTGTCTGTCAAGTTCTGAAGCTCTGAGGGTACACAGCACCTTTCACTGTGCAGCTGGAGCCATTGTTTTGTTGAGTTAATCTGATTTCAAAGACCAAGGAGAATCGCCCAGAATCAGTTTCATGGGCGGCACCTTGGAAAAGTAATCCTTATTCTTTTAGCAAATCTTTATTAAGTATCTACTATAATCCAGGCACTATGCTACACATGGGAGCATAACAATGAATAAAACATGTTCTGAAAAAATACCTGGCCCTCAAGCCTTTCTCTAAACGCCCAGATTAAAAAAACTTTTAGTAAGTTTAACCAGAATTTTCCACACTTTGCTTTTCATGCCAAATTTGGACATTTATAATACTAATGGTTGTTCAAATGAACCCTCAAGGTAACTGTCAATTTAAGGTGAGTGAAAAGCTCTAATTTCACTTTTCTAATATTGGCTGTTATGGGGGCAGAGTTTTAAAACTTCCAGAAGTTTCAGAAAATTTTTTCAAGGCTGGCAGAAATCCCATGTCTTCATTACGGTAAAAGGCCACTCGAATATTTTATAAATGTAATACTAACTTTCCTTTACTTGAATTTATGTAGATAAAACTGTTTGGGATTCTCAAATTATGTCAGACAACTGAGACATTTGTTCTTTTAAGTGAGCATGAAATGCTTTCTGTAACTGTTAAAAGGAATCAACCCCATAGCTTAGTGCTAGAGGACACAAAGTTTAAGGACATTCAAACAAGAATAATCCAACAACTACAAAAGGAGATAGCAATGTTAAATCAAAGTAAAACTCTTTGAAGAAATCACACAAAGAGAGAGCAAAAATGGAAATAATTAGCCATTGCATAGTAAGCATCTATCAAACATGATCCGACATTAATTCAGAAATATTCAACTTTATGTTAAACTTCCCTCAAGTATATAAGCCAACACACACCTAATGGAATAAATATTACAATATTGTTAATATTTGCAATTACGGAGTGTGAGAATTCAAATTTTCTCTATACTGAGCAATGAATATAAAATTTAGAAATGAATGGATGCTGAGTTAATGTAAGCCTGCAAATTGTGACTTCATGTATGTGTGCACATCAAAATATTAGTATCATTAACTTTTTAATCAGTAAATCCTTAAATTTAAACTTACATATTTATGCTAATAAAACAAGTATACCATCCATTTTACGTATTGGGGCCTAAATGAAAAAGAAGTTTGGCCTAGATC